GTTCTGATGTGGGTCTCTTGTAGACAGCATATATATGGGTCTTGTTTTCTTATCCACTCAGTCACCCTATCTCTTTTGAGTGGAGCATTCAATCTATTTACATTTAAGGTTATTATTGACTAATGGCCTGGTGCACGAAATTCATGCACATTAAAAGGGGATTAATTAGAGGAAATATTTTTTTAAATATATTTTATTGATTTTTTACAGAGAGGAAGGGAGAGGGATAGAGAGTTAGAAACATTGATGAGAGAGAAACATTGATCAGCTGCCTCCTGCACACCCCCTACTGGGGATGTGCCCGCAACCAGGGTACATGCCCTTGACCGGAATCGAACCTGGGACCCTTCAGTCCGCAGGCCGATGCTTTATCCACTGAGCCAAATCAGTTAGGGCAAGGCAATATTTTAATATTGCTATTTGCCCTTTCTCTAGAATAGAAGTGTCAGAGATGAAAGAAAATTAGTAAAATGTATATGAAAATCTTCCTCCTGTCAGAGTCTGGGGTACACTATGGGACCCAGACTCAAGCCCCCGCCCACCCATGTGCGCCTCAAAATCGCGCAAGACTCAGACCTGTTCATGCCCCCCTCCTATTGGGCGAGATCCAGACCCAGCTGGTCCCATCCTTGTGAAGCCCTACCAGGAAGGGGGTGCAGCCTCAGGTCCCCTGGCCCAGCGTTTGGGTGGGGGGCATGGCCTGAGGTCCCCATCAAGTCCTGTTGGGTGGGGAACATGGCCTGAGTTCCCCTGGCCTGGTGCCAGGGTGTGGGGCATTGCCTGAGGTCCCCTGTCAAGCCCCATGGGGTTGGGGGGGGCATAGCCTCAGGTCCCTGCTGATTGCTCATTAAGGCTCATTACTGGAACTCCACCTCCACTGTGGGCACAGCATCTTGTGTTGCGGAAACCCTGCCTCTACTGTGGGTGCCTCCATCTTTGTGGCAGAGTGACAGTCAATTTGCATATTCCCTTTTTATTATATAGGATAGGTATTTATTGGAATTTTTATTTTCTTTATACCTGTGATCCTCTCTCTTTCCTTCTCTCTGTCTTACCACAGCCCCTTTGGCATTTCTTGCAGTGCTGGTTTGGTGGTAATAAACTCCTTTAGCCTTCTTTTTTCTGAAAAACTCTTTATTTCTCCTTTAATTTTTAATCATAGCTTTGCTGGATAGAGTTTTCTTGGATTCTATCCCTTGCTTTTTATTACTTTGTATACTTCATATCATGCCCTTCTGATCTGAAGTGTTTCTATAGAGAAGTCAGCTGACATTCTAATGGAAGCTCCTTTGTAGGTAATGTTTTGTCTCCATCCCTTGCTGCCTTTAAGGTTCTTTCTTTGCTTTTAATGTTTGCCATTTTAATTGAAATGTGTGTAGGTGTGGCTCTATTTGGCTATATCTTGATTGGGACTCTCTGTCTCCTCAACTTGTGTGACATTTTCCTTCACCAGGTTGGTGGAAGTTTCCTGTCATTATTTCTTTAAATAGGTTCTCTGTTCCTTGCTCACCTGCTTCTCATTTTGATATTCCTATAATGAAGATATTGTTAAGTTTCATGTTGTCCCAGAGCTCCCTTAAGCTATCTTCCTGCTTTTTTATTCTTTTTTTCTTTTTAAAAAAAATATATTTTATTGAATTTTTACAGAGAGGAAGGGAGAGAGATAGAGAGCTAGAAACATTGATGAGAGAGAAACATTGATCAGCTGCCTCCTGCACACTCCCCACTGGGGATGTGCCCGCAACCAAGGTACATGCCCCAGACCGGAGTCGAACCTGGGACCCTTGAGTCCGCAGGCCAACGCTCTATCCACTGAGCCAAACCGGTTAGGGCATTATTCTTTTTTTCTATTCGCTGCTCTAATTAGGTATTTATTTCTACCTTGTCTTCCAAATTGCTGATCTGATCTGCTTCATCCAATCTACTTTTAATTCCTTCCACTGTGTTCTCAATGTCAGATATATTATTCTTCATTTATATCTGGTTCTGGTACATGGTTTCTATTTCCTTTTTCATGCTGCTATAGTTCCCACTGAGTTCCTTATAATTCGTACTAAGCTCCTTAAACACCTTTAGAACCATTACTTTGAACTCTATAGCTGATAGTTTGCTTGCCTACATTTCATTTTATTCTTTTCTTGGAGATTCCTCTTTTTTTCATGTGGGGGTTGTTTCTTTGTCTTCCTATCTTAGCTGTCTCTTTGTATTTTCTTCCATGTATTAGATAGAACTGTTATGCCTCTCAGTCTTTGTGGGATGGTCTTATGCAGAAAGTGTCTTTAGGGATTCAGTGGTGCAGTCTCTTTGATCTCCTGAACTTGGTACTCTAGGAATGCCCCTTGTGTGTGTTTTTGGGCTCTCCTTTTGTAATTGGGGCTTGACTGTTGATGTCCCATTCATGGGAGGGATTTCCCCTCCAACTTGATGCCAAGTACAGGCTCAACCCCAACGTCATTGTGCCAGCTGACAGAATGACAGAACAGAAGACACAACAGAACCAAACAAAAAAACACCATGAAAATTAAACTATGCAATGCAACAAGAACAGGAAAGACTAAGAAGGAAAAAGAAGAAAAAGCAAAGCAAAGATAAAATAAAAGAATACTAAAAGACATGTGATCAAAGACTAAGAGGAGATATAAAGAAAAAGGGAGAAAGGAGAAGAAGAAATGGCTATATGGAAGCAAGGAGGAAGCCAAAAGAACTAGAATAAGAAAAAAGAAAAGGAACATAAAATAAATGAAATAATAATAATTAATTTAAAATGCAGTAATAATGGATACATTAAGATGTAGATAGGAAAAGTAAAATGGAAAAAAGAGAAAAATAAAATAAGAAAAATTAATAATAACAATAAGAATACACAAAGTACGATAGAATCAAAGGAAAGAAATTAGAGATATGTAAGAAGAAAGAGAAATAAGGAAAAAACCACACAACAAAAACAAAATAAATCTACTCACACACACACACACACACACAAACAAAAACCACATACACACAGTCAAAAATCTTTGGGTCTGCTATTTGTGGAGCTCGCTGGATTTTTCTCTGATGTTATTGAATCTAGTCCATTGGTGTGTCTATCCTGGGCCTCCTCAGAGCTTCTCTGGTGCAGGTAAATTGGAGTCACTGTCCCTTTCTGGCCCTGGGCCACCTTATTGAGGTCTGAGAGTTTGAAGCCCCTAGTAGTCCAGCTGGCAGGGACTCCTTAGCCCAGAGGTTGGGTCTGCCTCAAGTGTCATGCCTTGATTGTCCTTGTTCTGAGCTCTACTCCCTTGTCCCATGGAGCTGGGCTCTGTCTGGGTATCCTGGTCTTGGCTGGGATGGTTTGATCAGACTCATGTTGGGGGTAGTGCCAGTAGCTTGTAGCGGGGGTGGGCAGGCTCTTCCTCTTTTTCTAATGCCTCAACTATGCCTGGTTTGCTGGCACCTCCTCTCTGTCACCTGCAGGGGCACAGATTTCCTGCCCCAGCTGTTCCTTCTTGCCTGAGGTTACTGCAAATTGGGTCAGAAGCAGCTGTTTTGTCAGTGGGAAAGAGGAGATCTTCCCTGAATTCCAGGTGGGCAGGGCTGATCCTCCTTCCTGGACCTACTGTCCAGCCCCCTTTCTGTTCACCATCAAGAAATAGAGGGCACCCCAGGTTCAATGTTGGGTGTGTCATGAGCTTAGTATAGGCTCCCGTGTAGTCTGGCCCTGAGCTCAGTTACGTGGCCCTTCCCACAGGTCAGAGGAGCTTCCCAGGCTGCACGATGGTGGGGTGTTAACACTACTCTATCCAGGGACTCCAGCCTCAGGCTTCCACTGCTGCACCGACTCTGCAATTTCCACAGCCAGTGCCCTTGAGGCCTCCTCTCTCATTCTCAGGCACTCCCGTCTCACCTACAGATCTGCAGCCTCTTCAGTCTCCTCAGGTCTCAATTATAGTAGGTCCAAGTCAGGGGAGGCTACATCCACCTCCTAGCCTTCAGCACAGGTCCTGCCTCTGAGCCTTGGCGGTGGAACTGAGCAGCTCTAGGGCAGCGGGGGCAGCACAGTAGCAGTGGCAGTGGGTGAGTACATGGCAGGGGCGAGATTCCTGCCAGGTCAGTGGAAGTCACACAGCGGTGGCATAAAGTCCAGGATAAGTCCCTGTTGGGCACATGTGTTCAGGCTGGGTGCATGCCAGGCCTGCAGAGGTTCTGCCGATGTCTGCAGCTGGTGTGGTCAGGGTCTGGGTTGTCAGTGCTGAGCATATCAGGTAATCAACCCTCAGGACTTGCCGAACCCTTAACTAGATATTTTGAAAGTAATCAAACTCAGTGTTTCCTAGGGAACAAATACAATTGAGGTACATTATTTTGTAAAAAAAAAAAAAAAAAAAAAAAAAAAAAGAAATGCAAAAGAATAAATCTAAATCCTAAAATGCAAAGCATTTGTGGAATTGTTAGATTTTTTTACCACTCCCCATGTATAAACAATCATTTAGACAAATCTACTTCAATGTAAGTTAGAAAGTCATACTAGGTTCGGAGCAAGATAAACAGGTCCATAAATTACAAAGAGTTGCCAGATGGAGACCCCATAGTAATCTCCCTTAACTGCAATTATCAGCTGGATTTTACAAAGAATCCAAATTTATATGCGAATTAGCATGTCCCTAGGCTAACACCATATTTAGGTCTGGGACTCTAATGACAATAATCACACCTTTGCTAAGCTTCAAAAGAACCAGGTCAAAGTCACTTCAGTGTCATGTTTGTGACTTTTTGTTCTCTAATAACTTTTGGCATGGGCATGTCTTTGTCTGCCTATTTACAGTTAAAGTGAATTTCCAAGCCTGTGGACTTGGCAGCTCTGGCTTCAGACCTAAAATTCCACATTTCTGCTCTTCCTGATTCCCTTATCTACTGGGCAGCCTTGTAACTATCTCCATGGCAATGCAGGGCCTCTCCTGGCAGGTAAACCTGTCTGGTGAATCCGCCCATCAGAGGCGTGTCAGTACCATTTCCTGGAGCAATCTCACAGGGTGGCTCCACTTTCCATTAGTGTTCAAATACTTTGCTGCCTCCTCTGCAGCTGCCAGACCTGCTCCTGCTGCTGCTCAGGTAATTCTCATTTCCCCCTGGCACCACTATAGACAGAGGTGGTTGGTAAAAGGCTTGTACATGTACCTGCCTGTCTGCCTTCCTATCCTTTCCTTTCATGATCTCTCTGTCTCTCTCCTTCTCTGTTTTGTTCCTTAGGGAGAACATCTGGTGTGTACCTTACTGACCACCGAGAAGATGATGAGTTCAAGCTATTGGAACGAGATGAACAGCAGCAGCTGTGGGATTCAGCAACTCCCAGAGGTGCTGCAGTGCCAGCCTCAGCATTACCACTGCTACCATCAGTCAAGTCAAGCCCAGCAGCCTCCAGAAAAAAATGTAGTGTATGAGCGAGTGAGGACCTACAGTGGACCCATGAATAAGGTGGCTCAAGCCTTGGATCCCATCGGCTCCCGGGAAGTGCTCTCCCCTCTCAAAACTTCCTCATCCTACCAAAATTTGGTTTGGAGCGACCATTCCCAGGTACCACAGAGACAGTTGTCAGGCTAGTAGAGAGGGGGAATCTTGAACCTCATTTCTTTTTTAAAAAAATTAAGTTCTTTATTGTTTAATGTATTACATAAGTCTTCTCCCCCCCCCCATTGACCTCTCCCCGGCCGCCCCCAACCCCCAGTACATTCCCTTACCCCCATCCCATCTGTGTCCTTTGGCTATGCTCATACGCATGCATACAAGTCCTTTGTCATTTCTTTTCTTTCTGTTTCTCTGCCTCTGTTATAAAGAATGTTATCTCTCAGTGGAATACAGCTACATATTCAATGTACAGTAAGTCAAAATTTCATCTCTTGGCTATTCTTTCATTTACTCATGCCTGTGGTTGTTTGTAATCAGTTCCCGTAATTTTTATAATTTAACTAGAACATAGGATGGCTCGTATTTTGTTGCATTTGATTGGAATATCTGATCTGAGGTAGTCTTTTGCTCCTGCCACAAAGCAATCCTCAACTTGAATACGATAATTTTTACAGAACATTTTTTGTTAATTAACTTCATAACAGAAATAAATAGATTTTTTGTATCAAATATAATGGCTCAGGGTCAATGGCATGTATTGTGTGACAAGCAAATATTTGTGTTCAGCAAATAGTACGCTGTTCTAGGATAAATGACAGGCACAAAAACCTGTTTGAATTGCCATATGTGTTTCATATTCTGGAAATGACACATTTCTCTTGCATAGCTAAGGTGAATAATTTATGAATATTGGTAAAAGAGTATTGAAAGAGTGGATATAGGATTAAGGAAGGCAAGATGTAAGCAATTGCTTATCTGAAAACTAAAAAGAGTGGAACTCTAAGACACCCTTTAAAATTAAATAAATGTGTTTGTAAAGGGGTTATTTTAGCATCAAGATCTGTACTAATAATCATGCCAATGAATGTAAAGGAACATTGCAAGACTATATAAAATTAACAGCTCTATGTTTTCATTCTTTGACCTTCTTTACATTAAATTTTCATGTTTTTAAACTTTCTGGAAACTTCTGTCCAAACTGAAATTATGTTTTTCAAGATACAATTTGTACTGTAAAGAGCTCAAAAAGAAAGAGAGATAAAAGAATGCAACCATTGGGATATTATCCTATATTGCATTATCATACCAATCTGGAATAATATGAATTATTTTCCCTAAAACCTCAATTTCTTGTCAAATTGCTAGAAAAGGCAAGGTGAATTAATAGATAAAAATTAAAAAGCTGAAATTTGGCAAATCATAAATATTGACTACAGAATTTTTAGGAATGCATTTTATGGTATGCTCTTTAGTTCAACTTACCTTTGTAATAATCCTGGGACCAATTTAAAGTCAGATATAAAGCAACATTTCTCAAGTATATAATAAAACTATTTTTAAATAATTTTAGAGAAAATATAAATAACTCAACAACTACAGAGGCTACAATATTACTCTTTTCTTTTACCTCTAATTTACTTTGAGAGGAAAATGTGAAGAAAAACCCATGATCTACTGTTGGTAATTTCTTAGTTGAGAAAAACTCCACCTATGTTGAATTCAAAGGGAAGAAAAATATAAAGTTTAAAAATACTAGTGTATATAAGTGATAATAATGCAAATGTACATTCCAATCATCTATATTAGATGCTAATTAACAACTAAGTGGGTGTCACCTGTGTTTTTAAGTAGCCCCAAAACAATGAGGTCAAAGACAACAGTTACCATTATCGTAAGAATGCTAAAACCACCCTATCTGTCATAGTTATTTAAACAATTAACCTCTTTTCTTGTCAAATTGCTAGAAAAAGCAAGATAAATAGGTAAAAAATTAAAAAGCTGAAATTTGATAAATTATGAATATTGACTACAGAACTTGAGGAATACATTTTATTGTATGCTCTTTAGTTCAACTTATCTTTGTAATAATCCTGGGACCAAGCTGGCCGAGCTTTTTACAAGACTTTCCTTCTTCTTACCTGATATTTGTTTAAGTGATGATTAGGAGACTATCTTCATCCAGAAATGTAGTTCTCCATAAGGGGCTCTATAAGAAACCCTAGGGACCAAAAATATGGTCACAGAAACTAGGATAAGAGATTTGAATGGATGTTGTAAAGCCTGAAGTTATTTGCAATTGAAAGGAAAGAAAAGTAAGGGCTGGATGAAAATGATCCAGGTGAAATTTTAGATATGTGGTAAACAACAACAAAAAGTAGCTTCATTCCCTTAGTGAAACAAAGAAGAGAGAAAATTTGACCAAAACATTTAAAATTGAGTTAGATATCAAAGGGGATTAACAACTCCACTAAAAGATAATTTGTCAAAAAGCTTTTAGATAGTTGCCACAAAGAATGAGACTAGGAAGCTTTTCTATTTTATTTTTTCTCCCTATTTATTGGAAGGATGGCATTGTGTAAAGTAGAACCTCAATTTGATTTGAAATTACCTTCATGCTAACAAAAAGGTTAAGATATGGCTGGGTAAGATATGGTGATAGCTTTGTTATGCATTAAGCCAAGCACAAGCAAGCAGGACATATTATACAAAATTCTTTTTTGTTTGTCTTATGTTTTAATAAAGTCTCTTAATATGCTATGTTTCAGAGACATTTTGAGTTGGTATGTGGCAATTATTCTGCTGCTAGAATTTGTGACCATATCACTTAGGGAAATGGTTGGACATCATAAATTCAATTAAACTTTTACTTTAATTGTTTTTAGCATTTTGGTGTTTGGATGACATTCAGAGAATTCATATGATTTTTTAAAAATACATAATTGCCAGTAGTAAAATATGTTCTTTTTTGAGAAATCAAAATTGATGCTACTCTGCTTCCTGAATCTTAATTTTAGCTTATATTTTTAATTTTAGTTTTAACCAAATGTTTTTTGCAGCACTTTAGTATTTTCTATATATGGCTTTTTAGTATATGTTTTTTCTCTATCGCCTTCTTGTGCACTAAAATGATGTTTATAGATGTAAATGTATTTTCAATTTCTCCAGATATAATGTTGCTTTCTTTTTTGCCAATAACTGATCAGCTATATTTTATGATTGTCTTGGTTATTATTTTGTCTGATTGACAGAGTGTTCCTCAGAGAAATTTTAATATAGAAACCAGTTGCTGGTGAAATATTCAAAATTGATGATAGAATTAAATTACCAGGTTTATTTATATAAACAGGTAAAATCAATCACAAGTGAAATAAAGGTCATAGATGCATTTAAAACTGAATATGATACTGTGAATAAATGTATTTCTAAAAAACACATAAAACAAAATAAAAAACTTCAAGGCTCAACCTTTTTAAAAGCTTAAATATTAATCTACCATCACAACTCAAAATTACATACTGTCTCAAATGAGTAGCATTGATGTCAATTACTCACTAGACATGTATTTTTCCATTCCATTAATTTAATTTTTCATGAAGTTCAAGGAATTTTCCATGTATTCAGAGGAGCTCTGTGGTGTGAGAGAGAAATAGATGAAAATATGTTTTTAATGCCAGTTATTCATTGAACAGATATTTATTAAGTGTCTATTATATAGAAAGCACTGTGATTATTGGGATAAATACCACTTGCTATCTAGGGAGAGGCCATATTACAAACAGATATACAGGACCTAGATTTAGGTATCCCATATATCTATATTTCATTTTTAAATTTTATTTTGTGTTTTGGCCATCTCTCATTTTATTGAATACACCAAATTTGGGTGAAAGAAGGAACCTCTTAATGTATGTGTTATATGGATTACCATTCTTTTGAATTTGAAACTTGCAAACAAATTTAACTCTAGAGAGCTGCCCAGGGGAGAATGGATGTTTATAAATGGTCTCTGCTCTCAGTAATTATTCAGCTGGGATTATCTTTGTTACATTATTTTTTTCCCTTTTCTTTTGTTACAAAGATTGTGAATAGCTCCCTTATTGTGCCAGGATTTCTATAGACTATCAGAAATTTTTTCTGTTCTGTGGGGAGGGACATGGTGCTTTGATAAATTGTTGTTCAAGGGCGTGGTTTGTTCAAAGGTGTGGTCACTAAAGTGAATGATTGTTCAGGGAAGTAGGTTGCCTGCAAAAGGAATGAGGTCATAGGATAAAGAGGCACACATTTTCAACCTTGGTCATCCCCTTTGTGTTTACAATTAAATTAAGCTATACAAATTGTGAGTGTACCTAATTGTTGGATGAAATTGTCCATGCCAGTTGTCTTTGCCTGTTGTTTAAGGGAGGTCTGATAAATTTCTGGGCCTGTTTTCAGTCAGTGGCACTCACACAAGCCGTTAGTGTGTGTGTGTGTGTGTGTGTGTGTGTGTGTGTGTGTGTGTGTGTGTCAAGGTGGGGGACTTGAGACAAGGGGAAGGGGGGTGAACTTGTCCTTTAACTGTCTTGACCCAAATTTTCTTTCTTGATAATTCATGGTAAAACAACTGGGATATCTGTCATGCTTTTAAACCCCATTTAAAAGTGAAAACATTTCTAAACTAGTCTATTTGAGCTAACTTTTTCTTCATACCAGCAGCTATTTCAATAGTGATAATTTTTGACTTCCAGTAGAGCATATATACGTCTCATTTTTTTAAAGACAAAAAGCACGTACTGCAAAGAGACCGTATACTGTATTTTATGTCCTAGTTTCCTGTAGGAAAATAAGAGAAAATATCTTGGAATGAGTCTCTTAAATGAGAATTGCTATTAGAAGAAAGGGATGAGGGGAAGTAGTTCTATTACTAGTACATTCTAGTAATTTTTATCACTTTCTTTACATGAGAACAGAATCAGACTTTAATTAAGGAAGTGTTTGTTTCATCTACAGACAGATCATTGTACTTTACAAGTTTCTTCCTGTACAAAGTTCAGAATAACATCTCAACAATAACCTAAGGCAGGTGTTTAACCACATCACTGGCTTTGAAAGATTCTAACAAAATATCTCCCATACTATTCTGGGAATTTATGCAAATGGAAGTTTACCTTGGCAAATTTTTTCAGCATAAA